AGATTAGGTTAAATTCTTTTAACAGTAACCACTATTCAAATATAAAAATATAAATTTTAATATTATTCGTAGTGATCGGAAACTTTGCTTCTCTGTGTTGTATATTATCATTATGTACTATGACAATGGATTTCTCAAGTATTTAGATAAATTTCAAACTATTTAAACCACAAATCTACTTATTACTCAATAATAATAAAAAAAAAAAAAAAAAATGGAACACATTACCTATATTAACTTATGAGTTTATACTGATAGTAATATTATAATATTATAAATAATAAAATATATTATATTATATACAATTGGTTTTTGGAAAAAATTAATCCAACCTACCATATTTGATATTACTGATAGAAAAATAAATTACAAATAGCAATATAAATTTTATATAATACACAATAAAATATCCAATTTAGGGTGGTCCTTATTTTTCATTTGTGTTTTTTTTAGATTACCCCCCTAAAAATGTTCAACTACAAATAAAATCATACAAAAAAAGTTTCATGCAAAATTGTTTAATTTTAACCCGTACCACAAAAGCTCTAAAGTTACAGACATGGAAAATGTTCAATATTATAAATTTTTTTGATATTCTCAAACATAACTTTATAAAAAAAAATGTTACAAAAATTTGTTGAGACAAAAATGATAGAAAACTAAATTTACTACAATTTGTTTCCTATGTACTAGATTGCAAATATTTTACTTTTTCAAATATGTGTATTAATCGAAAGGTTTAAAAAAAAAATAATCTTAAGAATTGAGATATTTCCGGCAACTTAACATAGAAATAATTATAAATTATAATAACAATTAACAATGAATAATAACATAATGACTTTATATTTTTTACTTATATAGTTATATCTATAACAAATTTTAAATTTATGACTATGTAAGTATTTTTTTTATGGTCAGGATATTTTTTACAATAATCACTAACAATTTGTAGAAACTAGAAGGTATTGTTTTTGAGATTCATATTTGGTTATTTTCTGATGAACGATCGTCGTTGTTTAGAGCATGAATCATTTTTTTTAGCCTCCAGTGGCACAGCCTCATCGAAAAAAGAAAATTCACATAATTCTGTAGATAAATACCATAAGGCATAAACGACCACAAAACTTTTTAAGTGCTATCTGAGATATATCTTTATCTACTATAGAGGTATAATGTAAAAGGTTTTTTTTATAAAAGCCAAGTCTTGTAAAGGTGCTTTGATTGAAGATGGTGAAATAAACCATACTTTTTATGTATAATCGTACAACAAATATGCAAGTACTCCTTAAGGCACTTTCTTTTTTAGGTGTTAATCTAAACTGTTCACAAAATAAATATATTTTTAAACAATAAATAGCTTTGGCCATGCACCGAGCATGATGAATAGCACCTGGTATTTTAAAGCTGATATCATTTGAAAGTTTTCCACCCAAAAAAATGATTGTTAATTCTAGTAACTTTCGGTAATCATCTCTTGGATGCTTTTGTAAAAATCGATCTTTAGAAAACTTAATAATATGATCTCATTTACAGAATCCATTTCAATACTATTTTGTATGCCAGAATTTAGGATTAAAATTGTTAGAGTCAATAGTTCCCCAGGCTTGTTGGAACCTTTTAAAAATTGCCACGTCTAGGCCCGATGTTGACTCAAATTTTAAATCAAACACACTTTTCAATATAATTTTATATATATGTTGACACACATAAACTATTCCTGGTAACCATTATAAATCAGTAAAATAAAATACATTTCTTACAAAGTATAACATATTGTGAAAACTTAACACACAGTATTTAAGTATGTTGTTATAATTCAACTGAAAAATAAATCAATAAATCGCAAAATAATAATTGATAATCCATAATGATTTAATAAGCTCGATAACACATCACGTAACCTAATTTCTAAGTGTACCTAATAATGTACAATGATGAAGATTGTAGAATGTAGATAACACTTAGTTTTGTTGTACGAGTAATAAATGTTACAATGTGTCATGGAAATAATATTCACGTAATAATTGAAAAATGCGGGTACAAGTATTAGTATTACTATTCAGTATACTCTATTCGTACCTAACGATTCTATACTATTTCTTATATCATAGATAACAACGTTTAGTATTACTTACAAACTATATTATACAGTACCTAAATAAGTTTATGTTCATTTAAATCGCATTATGTGATATGATATAGAGAACATTTTATTTATTGCAGCGTTAAAAAATAGTTACAAATTTATATTTTTAAAATTTGAACTCAAATATTTTTAAAAAATTAAATATTAAAAAAAAATTTATAAGTATAAAATCGTTGTAATAATAATAATGTGTAATTAAAGTAGCTCTGCTTAAAGGTAGTAGATATAACAATGTTTTTTGTTTTTGTAAATCATTATTTTAAGAGTTATGATTAATTATATTGAAAAACTAACGATTTCGAACATTTTTTTATTGTTAAAACGGCACGGGTTAAAGTTGATCAATTTGTCTGAAATGTTTTACTTATGCTTTTTTTTTAAGTATTGGAACCGATTTGAGGGGGGTAACTTGAACATTTTGCAATTTTTTTTTTCCTTCATCTATACCAGAGGACCACCCTAATATCCATAGGCTCAACTAAGGTTCAAATTCTGGAGGGGCTACAGCGTACCTAACAAAACAATTTATTTTAAATAATCCATAGAGAGCTTATATCTAAATAAATAAAGGTTATTTTTTTGTTGGGGGGAGGGGCTAAATCTTAGTCAGGGGAACCTAAGCTCCCCTTAATTGTACCACTGACTACATATCTCATAGGAATATAAGCTGACAGCATATCTAATTGAAAGCATATACCTTAGAAGATCCAATGTTGAAAGACAAAATGCCAAACATGTTCTTACAAATTTGGTGGTAATCCGTATTATTTAACCATGGTCTTGGAATATGAAGTGAATAGTGAACTTCGGGTTTGTGGTAATCTGTAAGCTATTGTAAAAATACCACAAAAAAGATTTTTATAAAATTACAAAGTTTAAACCTAATTGGAATTAGGCTATAAACTATGAAATTATCTACATATACACATTGAAAGTGTATAAAAAAAATTCATGTGTTGCATTTGCGCACCCTTGTATCCTACAAATGACACCCCTGAACTTACCTGGTTAGTTGAAATGTTCTTTTTGCAGAAAAAATAATTTCAAAATATTAATGACCATTACTATACTCTATTCGAAAAAGACTGTGACCAGGCGGCGACCAATTTTCGTCAGGCGGAGGTCAGACGCTGTCCCCATTACGGCGACATTATTGCGCACGACTCAGCCGCTTGGTCTTATTTTGAATAGAGTATAGATACAACAATCACTAACTTATATTGAATAAATATAAAAGTTTGCTAACTAAAAATTTTAAGTATTATTTTAAACTTCTAGTAGCAACAATTTTAGTCACATAAAATTACGATCATAAATTATTTCTAAGATTATTTTTGTAGGTTTATAGGTAATTTTTTTTAATTAGTTCATAATGCATTTGAGGGCAGCAACATCCAGTCCCTATTTGACTATAAATTTTGATTTTAGGGTACATCTTTAAAGCCTAGAGTTCAACCTACAGCTTCAGAGTTATTTCCAGGAATATTAAACGGTGATTACTATGAGTGAGTAGAAATTGGTAAAATTATTTTTTATGTTAAGAGTTTTATTTAGTGAATTAATGTTTTTAGGAAGCTTTTGGAACAATGTTTTCCAAGAATGCCAAAAGGTAAAGTACGATGTTATGAACTATTCTGTGTGCATTTGGGCCTGGCAACTGCTTCGTGTGTGTTGGAACATTCCCGGAGATTATCAGCAACTGTATGGGAAGTAACTGGAAGACCTAGTAATCTTCTAGATTTGTTTTAAACGCCTATGGTTGATTAAAATTTTTTTTTTTATATAAAATTAACATTCCGTTTGCATTGATCTCATAGTATGAAGTCACTTAAACCATTTTTTTTTTTTAAATATCTATTATTTGTTTATTGTTTGGTTATTAGTTGTATTATTTTACGTTATGATATAATTTTAATGTTTTATTATAATTTATAGATTTACTCAATAACAATTTATTATATTATTGCTACTTAATAATGGTGAACTTTATACTTTAATCAAAATCATTTTAATGTGCCAATCTATGAATTAAAATTTGAATAAATACTAAAATGGGTATTTTAAATTTTACTGTTATAAACTATTATAGTAAGTGTACATAATCCGAAAAAAAAAAAAACTAATATTAGATGTAGTTTTGGTGAAGGTTTTTTTATACGGGTTCTTAATCTATGTCATATTGTTAATCAAATATATGATATTGCTGTAACACTTAACTTTTTGTCATTGTTTTTAATTGAATTAGTATCATGTAAGTACACGCTTGACGTTATTATTACAATACGGAGAGAAGTAGGTCCAACCAGTGCCATAACTATAGAGCCAATAACGTTGGGACCCTCTTTCTTGAGCATCATACATAAAAAAAGACTGATTGACTTCACACTATGAGTATTCTTTACTCCTTCGATATAGAATACTTTTGGTGGATGTATTGAATTTTAATGAACCGATAGTTTTCTCCATTGAAACAATCAACAAATCTAGGGTGAGTAATTTTGCAAATACTTAGATAAACAATTCCAAGTCAAAACAGACAGGCCTTTACTTATATTATCTATTGTATTTTCTATATATTTTAAATAATTAAACATTGTTTTACTTTAATAAAATACTATATTATATTATTTAATTTTTTATTACAAAGTAGTCATGAAAACATAATTTACCATTATTTATTTCCAAAATGCCAGCACATTCTTCAAAACTTTAATCATTAGATACCTCTGAATTGTCATCAACATCATTTAGGAACTTTTTTTCGTGCCGTACGGCAATCGAAACTTTTACGAAATTGAACGCACGATAATTTGAACTTTATAGATTATAAAAAATGTAAAATAAATACATTCTAGAATCTTCTGTAACAATCTGAACTACAACCACTGCCTATATGTAAGTGTTGTAATCTGTTGATCATGTTTGCCTTCGTGTCAACGGTACCTTGCCATACATTAGAATTTGGATTAATGTTACCATGTGTCATATTTCCAAGCACATTGGCTTTTGAGTCAATGGTATCTTGCCACACATTAGAATTAGAGTTGATGTTACCATGTGTCATATTTCCAAGCACGCTGGCTTTTGAGTCAACGCTAACATATCTGACATCACCAAGCACATTGGCTTTTGAGTCAATGTCAACATGTGTCACATTGTCAGACTCGTTTGCTTTGGACTCGAAATTAAAGTGTTCAAATTCGTTCATCAATGTTTTATGTCCTATTGAGTTGGAGTGGGATGCTGCTTTGGTGTTTTTCTCTTGATTCTCAGTAATCATATTGACTACACTCTGAATTCTCTCTTGGACTACACGAGAACTGTATTGCCCAGTTAACACACTTTCTAAGCTTTCCCAGTAATTATCCAATTGTACACCGGATGATCCTGTGATCACCCGGAGTAGGTTTACAGTCTGTTTGTTGCGGTACGGCTTCAACTTCTATAAAATGGAGACAGAAAAAAATAGCTGTGGCTAGAGTCACGGACACCGTGAATATAATGCGTTCACGGACATTCGATGCGCGCATGCGCAAATACTATATTTTGTTATCATGTCCGGGTATCTACTGAGTATCCGGACACTGATAAAATTATTATCATATTATCATTATTTAATACGTTTGTCCGTACATTGTTTTAATATTATCAAAATACGTTTTCCGTACATTATTTTAATATTAAAAGTATATTGTTTTAATATTATCAAAATACGTTTTCCGTACCTACATTATGTCCGTACATTAATATATTAAGGGCCGTTCTTACAATGTCCGGTAAAGTGTCGGTTAACGCTAACCGACTGATAACAGATTTTATTACCGGCAGAATTCTTCCGGTTAAGTGTCGGTTAACTTTAACCGGACGTCGTAAGAACGGCCCTTACACTTTAATATTTTAAATTATTATTATTATAACTTACCACAATATTACTTACCTTAAACTGGCTAATTATTATTATTTTTTAATAAATGTTAAAACAGTGCTGTGAAGATTTAATTTATTTATTACATACATTTATACACTTTGAACAAAACCAAGCACTATTTTTTTCTTTGGATGCAAGTTTTTTCTCACATTTTGTGTGATACCAAAGTAAGCAACTATCACACAAAATGGAGTTGTCGGAACCAATATCTATATTACATTTCGGACATATCCATACATCTTTTCGTTTCTTCAAAGTTTTTTCCAAGAACTTCCATCCTTTATGTGAAAAAATGCTAAAATTCATACGTACTACCTGTGGTATATATATTGGCAATATCTTTGAGATTTATGACTTTACCGGTCTTCGTTTGCATTTTGTGCTGAATTAACTTCTTATTGGCCTTCAACTTCATTAATTCCAACACTTCCATTTTCTCTTGAGGGGTGACTCTTCGCTGATTTGGGAGATGAGAAAATAATGTCTCCGACTTCTCGTGAAGAATTGGCCAGTTTCGGGTACCGTCTAATTTGTGATTTCGCAGTTTTTGAATCTTTGATATAAAAGTCAACGAATGTTGACTTTTTATATTGACTTAAAGCCTCTTCAAAATCCGCGTAAGTTTTAAAAGCGTCGCCCACACGCATAGTTAAAATTTTTATATAATATACTTTTAATATTAAAACAATGTACGTACAAACGTATTAATATACTTTTAATATTAAAATAATGTACGGAAAACGTATTTTGATAATATTAAAACAATGTACGGACAAACGTATTAAATAATGATAATATGATAATAATTTTATCAGTGTCCGGATACTCAGTAGATACCCGGACATGATAACAAAATATAGTATTTGCGCATGCGCGCATCGAATGTCCGTGAACGCATTATATTCACGGTGTCCGTGACTCTAGCCACAGCGAAAAAAATAGGTTAAAATAAATAAAAAAGGTAGTAGAAAATTAGTCACACTTTCAAACGACACAATAATAACTATTGTGTTTTTAAACGAGATTTATCTGTAGACCACAAGACGAGACCAGTTCGCTATCTATAAGGTACCTATCTCGTTTATTATAATATTATATACTGCAATATAATAGGTACGTACGTTTTTCAATTCTTTTAGGCGTTGTCTGTATTCAATTCCCTTTTTTCCTTTCGCCATTTTCGGATGCTGTCTGTGGAATTTTCGGTACAATCTGAATAAAAACGATGGTCAGATACTCAAATTGGTACAAGACGATTAGTGGATGGATGTCCTGAGAAGCGCCGAAGTCGTCCGTCGTCCGATAATATTACTTTTTTATTACTTTTTTATTTATATTTTTCTTTATCAGTATGACCTAATCAGTAATCAGTACTCCGTTGACCCGTGGCAGTGTGACACTGCCTAAAAAGATCCTAAAACCTAATAAATGTAGCATGGTAGTATGGTACATGTTTTATCTATATGAATAAATTAATCTCTTATATTATAAAACACAAATAGTCTCCGTTTTTTGCCACCAGGGGCGACGCGACAAATAAGGAATTCCGCGTTTCTTCCATGACGACCAATCATATTACTTCTCGCGCGACGCAGCAAATAAGCAACTCCGCGTTTCTTCCATGACGACCAATCATAATACTTCTCGCGCGTTCGCTAAATTTTCACGTCGCCGCTCGCTTATCTCCCTTTTCGTTATCGACGATTGACGTGAATATTTTCGAATATTATTTTCCCGAGTTATTCTGTATTTCTATATATTATATAATATAATAAAAATAAAAAAGTGCGTGTGCGATTTTTACAAAAATTGTGATATTTCCGTGTGTAAAATATATAAAATATGTAAAACGCAATATTCAGAAACTGTTCAAGTGTTATGTAAATGTCATTATTATGAATTTTATTATCGTACCGTTGTGGAAGCCGCCATTCAGCCATTAAGAATTTCAATAATATTAAAAATATAAGTAGTTTGAATGCACGGATTAGATAGACATTTTTCACGAGTATTGCAGTACATTTAACTATTATATCTAAGAGTTTTAGTAGGAGCTTGGTGTGTCGATTGTTTATGACAATGTCGTTACATACGTAATAAGGTAAGTAATAATAAGTAAATTCAATACATTTATATACGAGGGGTAATTACAGAAAGTTTGTACACCAGATTACTGATTTAAATGATTATACCTATGATTTCCCATGACTTACTACAAAGATTACCTATGATTACACATGATTACCCCCAAGGTGTTTACCCCTCGATTATAATATACTAATATTGTATTACCAAGTTTAATTACTTCAATTCATACCTTATAACTGTACTAACCTTTACATTGGGTTACACGTATTAATTTTTTGCAATATTTCAAACAAATTTCAAAACAAGAAAACTACATTTACATAGGTATTATATGTTAAATTGAATTTAAATTCCTTCAAAGGTGTAAAACTATGCTTAAAATATTGTACTATTTGTCAACATTTTTATTATGTCGTTGGCATGCAAAAATGTATTATACATGATTTATATATATTATATTAATAAATACATAGGTATCATTTATATTCTACTTTTTAAAACTTTATTATAGGACAACTGTATGCAGCGTTTTCCCGAGTGAGGGACTCTCAATCCATAAAAACCATTAGAGTTGCTATGTACAGTGATGGCCGTGGTAGATTCGTCACTAAGAACATTGTGTACAGAGAAATTCTACAAGCGATATAACTGTACAATTAAGTCTACAAGAACTTAATGAACATCGAATCCGATCTGTGTGACACATGGTTTATAAGCAGTCGTAAGTACGACTCGCGGAGGAGAGAAAGTTCGACGACCTCCACGTGGTTCTCTCTGGATGCGGATTTTGTAATGAATACGTAACTGATGTCAAACATGCATTTAACCTGGCTGCGACTCGCACACTAGATGGTAAATTATTTAGAATTATTTATGTACTCTAAAAATATATCAGCAGATATTTGTATGCATTTGTATTATTTCAGAAACATTATACTAAAAATGACTATCAATGCAGATGTAACAGAAACAGAATCATTGTTGTACTGCTACTAAGGCATAGGGGAAATTCGACAACCTCTACGTGCTACTCTCTTGATGCGGATTTTGTAATGTATTTGTATCAAATGTCAAACATGCATTTAGACTGACTGCGACTCGCACACTAGATGGTAAATTATTTAGAATTATTTATGTACTCTAAAAATATATCAGCAGATATTTGTATGCATTTGTATTATTTCAGAAACATTATACTAAAAATGACTATCAATGCAGATGTAACAGAAACAGAATCATTGTTGTACTGCTACTAAGGCATAGGGGAAATTCGACAACCTCTACGTGCTACTCTCTTGATGCGGATTTTGTAATGTATTTGTATCAAATGTCAAACATGCATTTAGACTGACTGCGACTCGCACACTCTGTGGTAAATTATTTAGAATTATTTATGTACTCTAAAAATATATCAGCAGATATTTGTATGCATTTGTATTATTTCAGAAACATTATACTAGAAATGACTATCAATGCAGGTGTAATAGAAACAGAATCATTGTTGGACTGCTACTAAGACATAGGGGAAATTCGACAACCTCTACGTGCTTCTCTCTTGATGCGGATTTTGTAATGTATTTGTATCAAATGTCAAACATGCATTTAAACTGGCTACGACTCGCACACTCTGTGGTAAATTATTTAGAATTATTTATGTACTCTAAAAATATATCAGCAGATATTTGTATGCAATTGTATTATTTCAGAAACATTATACTAGAAATGACTTCATCAATGCAGATGTAGCAGAAACACAACAAAAAGATTCATCATTGTATCAATACTGATTACTAATTTGCAACTAAACCATACTCTGATAATCATAAGAATTACTACAGCTAACACTTAATTATTATTCATTGTTAATGTGTAACTGATGTAGCACATACACACACATATAAATATATGTATATACACTTAAATTGATTAATAGTAAGTTTCATACACAAATTATTATAATTTCAAAAGCATATATTATCTACTATAACCAAGGTTTGTAAGAAATTTTCAATTTTGTTGTATGTACAATATGTTTCATTTCTACGTATTGCAGTCGACGCACGATTCAATTAAATTTTTTTAAACATCATTAAACTACACTATATTGTATGTTTGAATTTGTATTGCTTAACAATGTCTTTTATATGTAATAAACATAATGAGGTATGATTAGATATTTTGCCACCGCAGATAATTTTCATTGAAAAAATATTATGCAATTACTGATTAGTAATACCTAATTGATTATACATTATTTGTAATTTAAAAAAGGTGCTCTGCTGTACTGTAGGTTATAAGTGGGTCACTGTATAATGGATGGTATTAAATTTGAATTCAATGATATAATATCATTGTATAAGAAAAACGATTCTGAGTGGAGACGGTATGTCAGTCTAGGTTAAGACATATTATATACATATTACATATATATTGTATTAAAATAAAATTGACCTATAATAAATTCCAAATTAATCATATCACAATATCCATTAGGTACTTATAAGCGTTATACATCAACAACAAACTGTGATACTATCATAGATATATAAATATAATAGTACATTTTAGAAGTTTCAAGTACCTACGAATAATATTATACAATCACAACAAAATAACTAAATTAGTTATTCTAGGTTTTTTAATATATAATTTCGTCCAAATTTAAATTTAAAATGTCTGTAAAAAATAACTGTGTTCATATATTTTTTTAGATTTTTTGGTTACAGTATGAACTATTCATGAGAACCTCTGTTTTAAATTTGCAGTCCTTAGCTATAAAAACTGAACATTTTATAATTTATTAATTACAATTATTGATAATGTTCGAGATTTTGATAAATTTTGTCAAAATTCGATCTTTAAATGCTTATAAAAAGAAATTGTGCATATGTATTTGAAATATTTTTCAAACTGATATTGTAACAATATATCAGGAGCGTTGTATTAAATTTTTATACTTTTTGACCCAACAGATAAAACTTTATTGATATTTATAGAAAAAAAAACTAAAAAAATCGAAAACTGAAAATGTCCGTAAACAGCTCAAAAAGAGTCACAATATTTTCAAAATTGTATAGTGTTTAGAAAATGCTAATATAAACATTCAGTGAAATTTTCATGTATCTACAGTTATTCGTTTTAGAATTACAACAAAATAACGAAATCGCTATATGAGAAATCGACTGAATCTCCAATGTTGTAAAAATTTGAATTTCAAACACTCATAAAAATTTAATTTGACTTTCTTATAGACATTTTTTTTTGATAAATGTAGAAAATCTTATAAGGAATCTTGTATTACATTTTCATATCTTTTATTAGCCATTGGTTAACAATTAATGTTACCATTAATATTATTCATTAACTAATAATACCAACAATAATTTGTTCGAGCCTATGCATACCTACCGTTTTAAAGGAGAGTTATGCAAACTTATAAATATGATAACATCTGTTATATATATGTTGTAATATAACTTAGGTTAGGTTATGTATAAAAAAAAACACTTAAAAATAACTGTTGTTATATATTATATATATATATTTCTATTTATAACTTAATAACTTATACATTATTCATTCTGAAAATATATACAAACACAAATTAGAATTAGACAATAAAAAGAACACAAAAATTAGTACACAGAAACTTTTTATAGCTTACCACTAGCTTGCTGTCATCCTATAAGCAATGTATTTAAAAACATTTATAACTAACATGTATATTACAAATATATTACAATATTATACTCACTCCTACATTCATAGAGGCCATATCGTGGCCCATAGATGACACAGCACTCGAGCCACGGTCATGGCCCGAGTGCTGGTGCGAAGTTCTGGCACCATTCCCCAACGACGGGGGGGCCGAGTCCCGCAGCCGCTGTGAGGTCGTCTCTCTCGGAGACCGATCTCGCCGCCAGAGGGGGGACCGGTCTCGCCGACGGGGGGAGGACCGGTCCCTTTGAACTTTTGGTCTTCTGCCTGCATAATAAATAATATTTTAGATGCATTGCCTACGATCACATATATAATATACACAAAATACACTTACAATGGCGGGCCAGGTGACCAGGTTTTCTGCAATTGTAGCATTCTGAAAAAGAAAAGCGAACAACATTACCATGTTTATCCATAGACCTATAAACTAATGGACAACGCTTAGAGAGAGAAGTAAGAGGTCCAATATACAGTATTAGTTTCGTAAGTCTATGATTTCCCACATTATGTTTTTTCTCTCTTTCTCTTATATGATTTCATCAAGATTCCCCCACTATGTTCCTTCTTACTCACTCTATATTGGCGTTACTCAGTGATGGTTGGGTGGTGAGGGAGGCGCAATCCATTAGTTTATAGGTCTATATGTAAGAAAAAAAGTCCCCGGAAAATAGTCCCGACTAAAATGCACTTTACCACACCCCTCACGAATTTCGATTTTTTTTTTTTTTTTAAAGAAGTGTTTTTCAACGCTGATTTCGAAACTGTTTGAATTTTTGTGCGGAAACCATTATTTTGGAAGTTATAGCCTCCCAAAGTTAACGATTTTACGTTTATACGCATGCGCGCAACATTACTATATTACCGCGCGGAGCGACGGCGCCGAGAAGCGCAGCGACGAGTGCCGCTAACAAGGGATCACTGCCCATACTATACAACATAACTGCAACAAAAATGCAATTTTCTTAACCCTGTAACCCACTTGGGGAGGTGTTGCACAGCAAGTCGAGGGATATTTTCGATTTGCGGAGCGGAGCGACGGCGCCGAGGAGCGTAGCGACGAGTGCCGCTAGCACCGCATCACTGTACGATGTTTTTTCAAATTGGTGGCTCGGTGCAACAAAAATGCAATTTTCTGAACCCTGTGACCCACTTGGGGAGGTGTTGCACAGCAAGTCGGGAGATATTTTCGATTTGCGGAGCGGAGGTATATAGGTATAGTAGGTACTACAATATACTCATTAGCTTATCTACCTGATATAATTATCATCAAGATAATTGAATATAACAATATTTGTAATAATATACAATTTAGTTATAATGAAATAGTTATAAAATAGTGATATTGATATAAAAATAGAACGAAGACCAATTAAAATGTGCAATTTTGTGCAATTTTTAAACAAATGAAGAAAATGCTGATAATATTGTTTATTAAATATTTAACATTGTGTATAAGTACAATATACAATAAAATAAAAAAATTGAATTTCAACTTTAAAATTATTGTCCCCGTAAAAAGAATTTAAATAATTAATACACGCTCCGCGCGGCGGTAATGCATAGTGGTGTTGAGTGCATGCGTATAAACGTAAAATCGCAAACTTTGGAAGGCTATAACTTCCAAAATAATGGTTTCCGCACAAAAATTCAAACAATTTCGAAATCAGCGTTGAAAAACACGTATTTTTTTTAAAAAAAATCGAAATTTGTGAGGGGCGTGGTAAAGTGCATTTGTTCCAATAGTCCCCGGTAAAAAAGTCTCACGGAAAAAAAAAGGCTCCAAATTACTATTTGATTTAAATTCTGTCTTTTATCATATATGTATTTATTAAGTACATAGCCCATAGGTAAGACATGTTACATATTTGTATTGAAAATTATTAACAATCAACTAAATTAAATAGATACCTTTCTAGGATTAAAAATTATTGTAGATAAGTATTTATATACATAATTAAATACATTTTAAATTTATTGAAAATAATATAATATCTTAAACATATAATAATATATAAGATTTGTCAACCCAATTTATTTAGAAACATAGATATACCAGTATATAACAGTATAGAGGAAATATCGTTTTATTTATTCTACAATGAGAGACTTTGTTTCCGTGGGACTTTCTTACCGGGGACTTTTTTCCCGTTTACCGTATATACGTCATGACAATTGACAATATTTATACATACTTTTAGGTGCTACAATTGCAGAAGATGGTGGTTGGTTGGTTGCAGCCTGCACCGTCACTTTGCAATTTTTAAAATGAAACATTCTACAACGAAAAATTAACATTAGTAAAGTTGTCAAAAAAAAACAAAAAAAAAAAAGTGAAAAATATAATAAAGTAACGAGTACTCACTTCCACTGGTCGATGGCAAATAAATATAGAATTGATTCCACTGTTTAGTTTTGCCTTGCATTTTAGTAATGGTATTTACCGATGTTATTACCAGCACCGCGGGTCTGTCAAAATCGTTGAGCATTGACAAAAAGCTTATTAAAATTAAATAGGTAACATTTGGTAATACTGCTGTCACGTGGTGGCAGAGTAAACAGCGAAAAGCTCAGTGGACCTGGGCGGCTCTCCGCTCCGACTTCGGGCGACTTTCTTCCACGAGCGTCTGTGCGAAACGTTCGTTTTTACGAATTGCGTATACTACTATACAAATTTACACTCTTTTTTTTTTTCTTACCTTTTTTTATCCTACCTATTTTTTTTTTTACTACGTTTGGCGTTTTATAGACTAATGAGTACTATTTTTTTTATTATTTAAAGCTTAATTGTTCACCCCGTGTACTTATACATCATTACAGTTTATTTACTGCAATTCACACTTTATATTGGCATAATTGCAATTTAGCTCCCCCTCGCCATTTTGAATTTTTTTTATCGAAACTTATGTAACTCATCGAGTTAAGAACGATGATGCAATCAAAATTTGTCGCTCTCACTTAATTTTGAAGTTATAGCCTCCCAAAGCTAACGATTTAGACGCATGCGCGCAACACTACTAATGCCGCACGAGGACCTCGAGTTTGGCGACCGGAGGACTTTTTTATTTGTTTTTATACTTAAACTGTGTAACACTGTATTACGAAATAACTTACCCTGTAACCTACTTAAGGTGGTATTGCATAGCAAGTCGGGAGATATTTTTGATTTGCGGAGCCAGCGACGAGTGCCGCAAACTGTTTAATACTGCCCATATACGGCATATACTACGACATAACTTTTTACTTTCCCTGTAACCTACTTAAGGTGGTGTTGCATAGCAAGTCGGGGGATATTTTCTATTTGCAGAGCGCAGCGACGGCGCCCAGTAGCGCAGCGACGAGTGCCGCAAACTGTGTAAGTAATCACTGTTGAGGTCCTCCGCGCGGTAATATAGTAGGTAGTGTTGCGCGCATGCATATATAAACGAAAATTAAAAACTTTGGATGGCCATAACTTCGAAACAAAGTGAGAGCGACAAATTTTGATTGCACCATCGTTCTTAACTCGATAAGTTACATAAGTTTCGATAAAAAAAATTCAAAATAGCGCGGGGGAGCTAAACTGCAATTGTTCCCGGGTTATGTATCCAATCCGCCATACACAAATGCCCTATAACTCATAGATTACCATACAGCGACGATTGATAGCTAGACATTCCATTACAATTATTCGCAATTCCTAATTTCTTATAAAGTCAACAAAACAGAACAGGACATACAACGGGGCACGGTATTACAGTATTACACTAATCGCAGGTGGATTGCATACCTGGTAATATACGCTTCACATATTGTCCGCGATCCGACGCAGTCGGATTACCTACCTATGTGATTTGATGACTGATAGCTAGACAATCAAATACACATATCGATACTACAATTTTTAATAATTTCAACAACCAAAAGCAGCTGACTAGAGATCCTGGAGATCGTATCTATTTACAATGTTTGTGACGGATTGCTAGACGATCAAACTTTTAAATATTCCTGCCAATGCGCCAAGCCTTATCTCCAATCCATATCACTAATCCTAAACTTTTGACTTACAACCCTTGTGATTTTTATAATTCCAACGACATTGTCTCCGAAATCGGTACTCACTTACAAACAAACACTGGGGGTCCGGGGGTCTCCCCCGGCTAGACCAAGGGCTAGTATGATTCATAAAACTAAAAAAAAAATAAAATACTCATAAAGTGGTAAGTAATTTATATTTATTACTTTACCGATAAATTACTTACTTTAAAATACTTTACCAAAGTAATATTACCGACTTACATCACTACTTGTAACAATGTAAATTGTATAGGAGTTCCTTATAGCCTATAGGGGTCTACCAAGGCTTATAGATTATAATCTATAAACATAAACCTGGTTGGTCTACCACAAGACTCGTTATCAGAATAAACACAAATTATGATAATTGATAAGCTATTGCGCTTTTTCGTAAATTCAAATTACTTTATTGTTGTTACTATTTTACCTCCTGACTATATTATAGTTGTAGTCAAGATACAAGTCCAAGTACTTACTTAACTCAGTCCTCACTTATCGTTTTTTCATTATTCAAATGTAATCTCGAAACCGAGACTAGACAGTCAGTAATGACAGATGCGAAAGGAAAAGTCATGTCGATGAAACAATTACCGTCGGAAACGATCAAACTGATAAGTAGTACTCAAGTCATTACGTCGGCATCGTCGGTGGTGAAGGAATTAATGGAAAACTCTATCGACGCCAATGCTACAATCATCGATATACGTCTGGTATTAAAAATCAAAAATAAATATAATATTATTGAATATTGATATAATGATTCTAAAAACCACCAATTTTGTGTTGCGTTGAACACATTGTTCAATGTTTAGGACAACTATGGACTAGACAAGATTGAAATTCGTGACAACGGGGTTGGCATTTCACACAGTGATGTGTATGTCATGTGTTTGCGTAATTACACTTCCAAAATATCCGAAATATCCGATTTAGGTTTGCCATGGTTTTTTTTTATATTTCCTGATAGAAATAATTTTTTAATTTTTATATTAAATAGGTAAATTGACTTATTACGGATTTCGCGGTGAAGCTCTTAGTTCCATTTGTGCTGTAGCTGATGTGACTGTTATTACAAAATCAGATTTTGATGAATATGCCAAATCGTTTACCATGGACAGCAATGGTCGTGTGAAGGATAGTACAATTTGTCATCACCAAAAGGGTTGGTAAATAATATTTTCATAATTTGCAAGTGATTCCGATATGAAAATAATAAATATACTTAATATTAATATAATATAAGCAAATAGTTTTGCCTATATTATCTAATATTGACGAGTCTTGGAGTTTCTTGATGACAACTACTAGGTATAATGGTATATAGTATATACTGGTATTATATTCCACGGATGCTGTAGATAGTATCTGATACTATTCATTATAATTTACTCAAGGTTCATTTTAATGGTATATGTTTTTAATAGGTACAGTTATCAAAATAGTAAACCTTTTCAAAAAGTTACCAGTTCGTAAACAAATGTATAGTTCAAAGAAACACTGTGTTAATGCATTTCGAAGAATTGAAATATAGTTAAATCATTAGCAGCTATTCAACAAAATGTTCGTGTTTCTCTGGTTCATAATAAATCTGTGTTGTGGCAAATGACTTCAGCCATCGATTTGACGGTAACATTTGGTCAAATTTGGTCATCGTCAATGACTAAGTATGTAAAGCACTTGACATTTACAAGCGAAGAGGTTAGTTTTTGGTGTAATAGGAGTCAGATAATTTGCTATTACTTTAATTCATAATCATTTAATCACATTAGGTAAATATTGATACAGTTTTACCTGTACAGAATATAAATGTGCAAAATTGTTTTTTTACCACAAATGTTGCTGATGCAATTTATTTATATGTTAACAAAAGACCGGTCAGGGACAATAAAATTGAAAAAGTAAGAATACATATTATCAACGAGTAAGTTGTTTTTTATTTATTTTAATTGGTGACTAAATAATTTGTTTTCTTTAAATACATTATGTAGCTTATTGTTGGAGAATTCAATAATTATTTTGGACATTATTTACCCCCAGGCAAATACTTGCCGTGTCTTATATCTATAACCATCCCACCTGAAACTATTGACATAAATTTGGAACCAGATAAATCTAGAATATTATTTCATAATCAGGTGCAGTATATTGAAAATGATCAAGTATCAACTATAATGACATTAATAAAATTACACCAACATATTGATTATCATGGCACAAAGCTTGTTACTGTGTAATGTGCTAGTATCGTTGGTGTTGTTATAATGTCATTACCTACTCATTAGTCCATTACTAATGTTAATACATTTATTACTAATTCAAATTCAATTAAAAACTAATTTTCAGGATATGATACTACTCAATCTTAAGAACTGCATTACTAAGTATTATTATAATGATAAAGTAGAGAATGATCAGTCTAATATTAATGAAGTCCTTGTACATTCAAATAATAAAAGAAAAATACCTTGTGATTCAGAAGAATTCCAAATAAAAAAATCTCCAATCTTAATGTCTCCGGCTAATGATTCTTTTACCCCAAATGCAGAGTCGACTAAAATTATTATCAATGAATCGTTTAACTCTATATCAAATAATGACGAGCATACACAAATTGTTAAGGAATTAAGCTTAGAAGATATTGATTTTGAAGAGCCATTTATATCAAAGAAAAATAAAAGTGACAATAAATGTTTAGAAAATGACAATATAGAAAGTACTGATGATATTTCAGAGTATCGTAAAAAGTTATTGAATATTGGAAGCACTTCTCCTTTTCGTTCTATTCGATCTGATGACACAAATGTTAAAAATTTTAATACTGAAGATATATCAATATCTCAATGGAGTAAAGGCGATGTAGTTCTGAATGGAAAACCATTAGAGGTATTTATATTTATCTATTTTATTGTCTGGGAAATATAACAAATATAATTTCTAGAGTGGAGTTGTGTTAAAATCTGATTTATTGCTTGAAAACTTAAACAAAAACAGTATGCCAAAAATGAATACAGAAACTGAAATTCTTCATTCAAGTGGTATTAAATATTAATATTTTTCATTATTTATATTTTAAACGTTAATTTAACTGTGTTTAACATATAACTGATTTATAATATTTGTTACTTGAAAAAATACAAATGTTTTTCAGTACCCCATAAGGATGAAAATATTATGATGAAAAATTATAATCCAGTGCATATAAATGATGAATCATCAGAAAATATTTCAGTAAATTCATCAAATAGCAGTATGAAACAATTAAAACTGAACAACTTTTTTTTACATTTTTCTGTTCCTGATGAGCAAGTTCCTGGTCTTAATCATTTAGTTAATCGCCCACAGTCATGGGTGCCTCAACCTAGATCAAAAAGACCAACAAGAGGTATTTTATTTATTTCCATTTCTGTGTTTTGCAAGAGTGGGTTAAAACTTAGAATATATTTCAATTACAAAATATAAATTAACTTATCTATGTTTATTCTTTTGATAAATGGGAATAGATTTTTGAATTATAATGTAATACTAAATAGCCACATAGGTAATATGTCTAGACTAGTTATTATAATTTTTAAATTATTGTAACCAATTTCTGCATTGAACAGAAATATTAAAAGTTTGAACACTTAAAAACCATATCCCATATATTTAAATTTTAAATAAAAAAATAAATTTAATTTAATTTATGATCACAATAATAAAAGTATACAAATTTAACTATAGTTAAATAAAATTCAAATTATGATGTCAAATTTATTAATGATAAATTTATGATAACTAAATCATTTTAGATATTCCTGAAGAAGATCTTAGTGACACTATTCGTAGTGTAAGCAGTCAAATGGGAAACAAAGAGATGTCAGGATTTACACTGTTTGCCAGGGAAATGAGAATTAAAAGTATAAACATTTAATATTTGAATACAAAACTATGAATTTAATTTATTTCTTAATAAAGTATTCAAGAAAATCCAGGAATAGAATTTACAAAAGTAAGCAAAGAACTCGCAAGATTATGGGGTGGTTTGAGCGAAGATGAAAAATTAAGGTATAAAAAATTGTCAAATGAACAGAAAAAAGTCATAATATCCAAAACAAATGATGTACAGTTACCAAAAAAATCATTTCAATCTATCTCTAAAAATCTTGAAAGGCATTCTACCCAAATTAACGTAGAATTATCTGAGATCAAAAGAAATATTTTGAAGAAACCAACAATGATGTAAGTGTTAAGATTAATTTTGTTAAACAATCGATTAAATGAAAATTAAATATTAACCTTTAAAAAACTTTTTGAATAAATCAAATATAAAATATTTAATGTCCATATTTATATGTATATTGTATACCTTATATATATAAGGTTATCTTACTTATATAGGTAATAACAAACATTTATTTTTTAAATAGTTCATCCGAATTTATGCTTATTGGTCAAATAGAGGACAACATTTGGCTTTGTTGTGTGCGTAATGAAATACAAGTTCTAAATATTTGTCGTCTTCAAGAAGCTGTAATTTTTTTCCAGAAATTGGCTGATAGTGAAATACCACTTAAAATGTTGGACCAATCAATTATAACAGCAAAAGTAATTATAACTAATCTACTTTGTTTATTTCTCTTTAAAATGTACAATGTAGGAAGATAAATACAGATAAAAAAAAAAACTACCAAAGTGCTATTCCTACGCACACGGAGTGTCATTGATTTTTTAGTCACTGCCTAGTACAGATTCCTAATTCCTATGTAAGCAATTGAAAATGTTTGGCTCTGTGGTGCGCCTGTACAATGGTTAGGAACTTAGGTTAGGTTAGTTATTGATAACACAGACCTAAGATGGTTCTTATTAAGTTCATTGGTGAGTGGTGACTGAAGAGTTTTTAGTGTAACATTGTATAATTGTACTGAACTATATATTATGTATGATAATGTTTTATGAATTGATTCCAAAAAGTTAAATTTATGATTCTAATTAAAATTTTGAATGTTTTTAGATATTTGGGGGAAAAAAATTATCGCTTTCTAATGGATCTGGATACTTCATATGAACCATCAGCTGATAAATATACTATAACAGATAAAAGGATAGTTAAGAATGGTTTTAATGTTGTTATTGTATTTAATGGTATGTTATGGTTTATTTTCAAAATATAATTCCAATATAAAATTTAATTAAAATTCTTACAGATGATTCTGAAAATCCTGATATAAACATCACAGATGTAGCCCTTCATATATCAACATATGGCGTTGAGGAACTCAAACAACTTTTAGAATTGATGCAGTTGGAAAAAGAAAATAATCTACATTGTTGCCGTCCATTGAAAGTGGTCAACTATCTCCGGGTATTTTCTTATTTATTTTTTAAAATAATAACATTGGACAAATTAACTTATTTTGATTTATTTGTTAAATGTAGAGTGAAACAGTGAGACATTGCAAGACAAACGGTCTCCCTAAAACGAAGGAAGAAATAAATAACCTATTGGAGTATTGGTTTCAAAATGAAAAGCTTTTCTCGCATAATACTTGCATTCACTACAAAAAAGTTTTTTCATCGATACACTGTATTAATGAAAAATAAAGAACATAAAAATATTCATTATCATAATTCTTGTTGTAGTTCAAGTGTAATGTGTGTTGTCAACCTATTGCTTTTAATATTAACCTCATAAAATTTATTTTTTTAAATTTTAAATGAATGTTTTAATTGAATAATTATTAAGTATATTGTTTAGTGTTTTTAGAATAAATAAATAAACATGAACATTAAATATTTTTTACAAGAAAAAAAATGTGTTATTAGAATTTATTATTATTTATTATTGTCTAACAATTAGGTACTTACTACATTTCCACAGCTCAGAATACATGACGTTTTAATATTTACTTCGGTGTGCATTTGTTGGTACAACAACTGAGTTTAAGGGGTCGACAATGTTATTGTGTCCAAATACTAAAAAAATGATAGTAACTGTCAACCCAAGGATATTGAGTATTGAGTATATAATGTTGTTTACTATAATAATTTATAATGTTTTAATTCTTGATTTTTTTTTACCAAAATATGTTAATATATCAATAATACATTTTGCATACGAAGTAGAACTTAAGTACAATATGGTATTGTAAAACCTAAATCGATATTTGACATATAAAGACAGGTCCCAAACCAGTAGCGTTTCGTGAAACTAATATGGCCCACTTAAACATTGACATTAAACTATTAAACAGTTGAATAAATGTTAGAAAGAGTCTGACACTCTGATGATGCTAAAAAATGATAAAAAAATAAAAATGATAAATATAATATTAAAAATAAGATAGTTTTACTACTTAAAAATGAACCTTTGATTAAAAACAAAAATATAATGATTAAATTGTATGGCTCCTCAACTTGAACGTACTTTGGAGGCTCCTCCCTTTTGCCTACATAATATAAATGCAACTGGCCATAACTCAATAAATTGAAATTGTAGAGCGTTTTCAAATGTTGAACAATTTTGACTATATTTCTATATTTTATTGTATGGGG